ACACACACACACACACACACACACACACACACACACACACACACACACACACACACACACACACACACACACACACACACACACACCTACGGTCGCGGACACACTCTCCAGAGTCCACGCACAAACTGGCATACTGTACAAACAACTCACCTTCACACACACGCACACAGACACACAACCAGCCAAACAGCCAGCCAGCATACACACACAACCAGCCAAACAGCCAGCCAGCCAGCACACACACACACACACACACACACACACACACACACACACACACACACACACACACTCACACTCGGCAGAAGTGATGACATGTGCGACAGTGCTGGTGTGAGGGACCCGGGAACCATTGTGTTCGATTGCTGCCACCGAGACCGCAGGTCACTTTCAAATTCCTGAACCCGCTTCTCCTGACGTGGCTGGATCCGTTTGCATCGAGCAATGTCATGTCTCTCGGTGCGTCCATAATTGGTCCTGCCGCCGAGCATGAGCTTTTGCTCGGCTATTGTCGATGCATGTGGGCGGGTGTGATGTCGGTTTGTTGCATGTGTTCAGAGTCAATGATGTATTGTAAACGCAACAGCACACAGGCCACCAACAACGGCGTGGCGGCAAGTACAATTCAACAGGGTGATGGTGAGAAGAACGAATCGATAAAGTCAACATAGTCTAGTGGTGGGACGACATGGTGTTGGAAACAGGCCACTCAATCAGGTGGTCAGTGAAGCAACAGGGGTGTGTGACAAGTCATGTTCAGCCAAAGAGCCAAGAATACCACCCCGAGCGTGGCGGGGCAAACATGGAAGCAAGGCGGTCCATGACATTGCGGTGGGAGAGGCTCACTTCCTTGATGGCACCGTTGCCGGCGTCGTACAGCACGCCTCCTCGAATCAGAATCTCCACACCCTCTAATGCCTCACGGCTGAAAGTGTCTGCAACGCGGGGAGGTATCTCAAACTGCCCGTCTTCACCTTGCACGGCGTGTGCACGCCACGCTTTGATTGCCTGCCACACGGCAGCCTCCTGTCCCAGTTGGCGCACTGTTGTCTGTATCTCAACAAAGTCTTTGTGGGCAGTAATGTCTGCAACGTCTTTGATGATCCTCTTCACGTCCGTGCCCTTTGGCAGGTCTTTGATCGCGTCGCACGCTTCACGAACGTGGTACACCAGGCGCCCGGCGTTATTGATCACCGCGGTTGTGATGTCGTCAATCTCCTCCTGGTCACGGTTGCCGCCGCAGAATGCCTCCACATACTTGCGCACGTCGGCTTTCGACAACCAGCCGACGACCACCTCCCCGTCGTGCCTGTGTGGGAAGTAGCGGCTGATGTTGGGGTCGCTGCTGACGATCACAGGCTGCAGGATGTTGTTCTTGGCGTAGCCAGCGAGGGTGTTGGCGACGGTGCGGAACGCTTTGTTCAGGCTGCGTGTGTCTTCTGCTGTCTCGGCAGTCTCAAAGTCGTCGAGAAGAACGATGCACTTTTTGCTCTCAGCCTTGCACATGCGCGCCTGCTCCTGCAGGATGTCCAGCACGCGTCTGAGGCGGTGTTCGTCGTTGAGTGGGCGCGTGGTGAGGGTGGCAGAAGTAGTCTCTGGGGGAAAGAGTTTCTCTATGAGAAGCGAGCGCGCATCGCTGTCATGCCACTTGATACCCATGGCGTTCTCCAGGTCGTCCGCCAGCTCAGAAACCGAGGTGATGTTGTTCGCCTTGACCCACACGACGTGTAGCTTGTCGGGGTCACAGGCGTCAAGGGCAAACCGGGTGGTCCAGCTCTTGCCGGCGTTCTTTGGGCCGCGGACGACAATAGCCTTCATGAACTTGGGGTCGTCCAGCTTTCTCTTGAGCTCGTCCACCACGGGCTTGTGCACGGTGACGTCGATCGTGCTTTCGCGGTTGCCTTTCGCGTCAGCTTTGACGTCGTCCAGGGAGTTGTCGAAGGCGACAATGGGCTTGCTCCCCTTGATCATCCTGTCCAGGCCCCACACGCCAAGGCATCCAGTCAGCACAACACCAGCAACCTTAAGGATGGAGGTGATCGCCCATGCTCCGAACGCATTCGTGTTCTGCTGCCAAAATTTCCAGACAGGGACTGCCTTGCTGTCGAGAAGGACGGTGCCAACCACGTGCAGGGGTGCATCTTGGCTGCTGCCTGCGATTGGACGTGGCGGTAATGGCGCTGAGGTGGTGCTGAGGAATCGTGACGGCGCACGGCGCAGCGAAAAACGCACAACACGGCTCGCCATCGCACGAGTTGACTGCTGTTCTTGTTGGACACGCTCCGCAGGTCGCGCTGGTGGTGTTCGTGATTGGTTGAGAAAGTGTGTCGACTGTTGTATGCATGTCAAACAAACTGAATTCAGTCAGAGTGCAATCCCTCAGTCATCAGACAGCAGTGGCTGCTGAGACCGGCAGCGAGAAGCGCGACCAAAACCTCGCCATTTCTGACCATGCGCAAACGGCGACCTAACAGGGAAGCTAGAGTGCCACAACAGCCGATGCTGCAGACGGGAGGACGGGGAACACGGCGGTATGTGTGCGAAAAGGCCAATCTCATCGGTAGTGTTTGACACACAAGGGAGGTTCGGGACGCCTGAGTAAAGTCTGCGCGATGGCAGATGGACAATGACAGGAAAGCCACGGCATTGAAGCAGCTGCAAGGCCACATTTGGAAGGACGCGTATGAAAGCGGCGCCGTCAAGGGCCAGTGAGTCGAGTGGACGTGTTGGTGTGTGTGTGTGTGTGTGTGTGTGTGTGTGTGTGTGTGTGTGTGTGTGCTTGCCTCTGTGTGTTGTGTTTAAATGTGCGTCTGTGCACAAGTGTGTGTGTGCTTGCCTCTGTGTGTTGTGCGTAAATGTGCGCCTGTGCACAAGTGTGTGTGTGTGTTGTGCACATTGCTTGTTCTCTTCCAACCGCCTCGTCCCATGCACTCACTTTTGCCTGCACCCATGCTCACCCACGCACACCAGCGTGTACGACGATGTGCGCCCTGCCATGGAGCGGTGGGTGGCAGATGGCATCCAGGTTCGGATTTACTCGAGTGGCAGCGTTGCCGCTCAGAAGCTCCTCTTCAAGCACAGTGAAAACGGCGACATGACAAAGGTGCGCGCATGTGCGTGTGTGTGTGTGCGTGCGTAACTGTGCCTGGTAGTTGTTTCGAGCCCTCTTCTCGCTTACGTATATGTTGCCTGGTGGTTGTTTCGAGCCCTCTTCTCGCTTACGTATATGTTGCCTGGCAGTTGTTTCGAGCCCTGTTGGCCCCTTTGTCTCCCCACCTTCTTCACGTCGCAACTGCTTGTCTCCTGTGCGTTTTCTGATGGCAGCTGCTGAGCGGCCACTATGACACACGGATTGGCGGGAAAATGGAGGCCGCGAGCTATCGTCGCATCGCGGAGGAAGCAATGACGAAACCAAACTCAATCCTCTTCCTCTCGGACCGCATTGAAGGTGTGGGCAGAGCAAGGGGCAGCCAATCGCTTGAATGCATTGCTTTGTGTTAGCCCCCCTTTCTCTGCGTGTGTGTGTGTGTGTGTGTGTGTGCGCGCGCGCACTGCTGCCACCCCCCCCTTTTCGACTGACTGACTCCACCCACCCACTCACTCGCACCGCACACACACACACACAACACACACACACACACACACACACACACACACACACACACACACACACACACACACACACACACACACACGCACGCACCGCACATCCACACCGCGCATCCCCAATGCACACCGCTCACGCCGCTCCGTCCCTTCCACGATCAGAGTGCGAGGCAGCGCGTGCGGCGGGGTTGATGGTTGTCGTGTCAATACGCCCAGGCAACGCGGACATTCCATCCGATCGGCTAAACGCGTTTGAAAGCATCACTTCGTTTGATCAGCTTGTGTTGACGCCTGTGGACGGGGAACCGACCACCAAGACGGCAAAGACTGCGGCTGACGATCACGGCAGCACGGCCGATGCAGGGGCGAAGGGAAGCAGTGACACTGCATAGCGCAAGCCAATAAGACACAGGATTCATAGTCAATGTTAATGTGCACACGTGGTGTGTGTTTGTGTGCGTGTTGTGTGTCGCATGTGTATTTGTGTGCGTGTTGTGTGTCGCTTTCGTGTTTGTGTGTCGCATGCGTGTTTGTGTGCGTGTTGTGTGTGTGTTGTATGCTGTGTATGTTCTCAATAGCAACTCGCCACATCATGGCTTACTTGACAGCGTGATTTTTATTTGTTGGCTGGTGGAAAGAACCACAGGGCGATACTGACGATGATGAATGAACTCACAAACAACACTATGCGAGCACAACATGTGTGTGTGTATGTGTGTGTGTGTGTGTGTGTAGCTAGCAACACAGGGCGTGAAGTGGTGAAGGGAATGGGGAAACAGCAGTGGAGGTGGAGGTGGAGGTGGACGTGTGTGTGCATGGAACAATCAAACCAACATACGAGGGAGCGCAGCTGCAACACACTTCACACCACATGCAACTGTTGTCGAGACACACACACATACAGACGTGCGTGTGTATGTGTACGTGCATGTGTTGTGCATGGATGGCGAATCAATTCATTCGTGTGTTCGTACGTGCGTGTGTTCGTACGTGCGTGAGTGTGTGAGTGCGTGTTGTTATTGGGGCGATTTGCTTAGCCGTATCTGTCCTGCAGCTTGTCGACGAGGTTGGATGCAAACTCCCTCAGCTTCTCGCGCGTCTGGCGACCGCCGCCACCACCACCGGACGACGACGACGACGACTGCTGGCCGCGGCCAAAGTACATGTCCGAGGAGATGGACGCCTGCCCGCTGAACTGCGACAGCCGTGCCTGCTCCTCGGGAGTTGGCTGACGGAGGAGGCGGACGAACGGAGCGCGTATATATGTGCGTGTGTGGGCGTGAGCATGTGCGTGCGTGAGTGCACATGTGCGTGTGTGTGTGTAAGCGTGAGGGCACATGAGAGAGTGGGAGCGCGTTAGTGTGTGAGTGTGTGAGTGTGAGTGTGTGAAACTGTATTTTCACGAATAGTATTGTTGGCACCTCCTGTGTGTCACCATGACCTCCACGCTGTCGCCACCTCCACGCTGTCGCCACCACCACCACCACCACCACTGTACCTGGTCGCTGCGGAAGTACTGATCGGAGGAGATGGACTTGGCGTTGGCAAACCGGCCTGGGACGCGATACGTGCGGGGATGCGGGGCAGGGGCGATGAGGAGGCGGCAGCGGTGCAGATGGGAAGAAACACGAACACATGTCACACAGTCAAGGTTGCGTTATGGTGGCGCATCACGAGCGAAACGTTGAGGCAGGAGCGCAGATACAGGAGGGGAAGCGGAGGCAGAAAAACCACACACACACATGAACACACACACACACACATGAACACACACATGAACACACACACACACACACACACACACACACACACACACACACACACATGCACACACACACACACACACACACACACACACACACACACGCTCACGTACCCATATCAGCTGGTGGTGGTGCGGACGTGGGCGGGGCCGAGCGCTTTGGCTTTGACGAAGACGATGACGACGAGTTTCCAAACGCGCTGACGGCGGACGGAATGTTGGACCGGCTGTCCTCAAACGACGCAAAGAAGTCATCC